CTGAAAACCTGTGTTTTTCAATCGTAAGACCGTCTGAAAGCTCCTGCTTCTGCAATGCTATTTTTACAATTGCAGTTTCAAATGAGAGTAGTCAGACTCTTAGAATTCAGTTGGTATATGTCTCCTGCATAGCGATATATAATCCTTATTTATAACAATGCCGTGTGGCAGAGGCAGCTCTGACAATTCTAAATTATGCAGCAGTAAACCCATTACAGAGCCTTCTTTGGCTTACACCGTGGCTGGGTGATTGCATCCAGCGCCCATTTAGGAGAGCCTTGCTGAAGAAGTTGTCCTAAAACACGACCTGTAAACAAGGAGGAAAAACTTGGTGTTGCTTCTCTGAAGTCAATCTAAGCGCGTGAAGCAAAGACTTTAGTGCAAACTTTCAGTGTCAGCCTTTGCAATCCTTGAAAAAGAAGATGTAATGTGTTAGAGATTATCGTTCATTTTTTCTCTTGCATTTTTGTCTCTTATTGACAAAACAATTTGCCAGTCCTTTAATAAACAGTTCTGTGTAAAGTAACCCCTCTGCCGAAGCTAGAATGTCAGTGCAAAGAGAAACTTTAGAAAGAATGTAGCTGTAAGAGTCTTTCTCGATTATTTCCCACAGTGTAACTTAAGAAGCTTCGTGATGGCCCCAGACTTGTGTAGTTGAGGCTACTATAGACTCTGAACTGCTGTAAGACATGTCTCTGTGTCATTACCTGAACAAATTTCGAAGTGAAAAAAGAAAGAAAAAATCAAAAAAGTATTTCAGGTGAAAAAGGTAAAAACGGCCTATTGTCAGAGAAGGCAGTTGTCTACTACAGCTGACAACACAAACAGAGGCTGACAAATTGTCAGTAAAGGAGGAAAAAACTGCTTTAGAAATGTCAGGATTTTTCCTGATTTAAAACCAATAGGTTCTGAAGAATTAAAATAACTACAATTTGGGATGGAATCACTCCGTGACAGATGGTACAATATCTTTTTTATATTGGGATTACACCTTCCTGCTGTTACGTGTGCCTGATTGACCCTTTGTGCTGAGATAGTGCCTGCCTCTAGAAGGGACCAGTGAAGTAATGCCTCCTCCAAAGGCATCATCTCATCTTGCAGTACTCCAGTGTCTTCGTTAATCAGACTTGAGTTTCAAAAACTGATGGGTGTGCGAAACCCACTTTCCGGGTGAGTTTGTCCAGCTTTGAGTTTTACTGGGCGCCGCTTCGTTAGTTCAGTTCGTCAAAGAGCTTGTGTCTGTGCCCTTCTCGCTAGCGTTCGGTGCCTTGTCACTGGGGGTAAATTTCAGCTTATTCATCTAAACATCAGCTGCCTTGGGTCCGTCCTGCCTTTGGGGATACGTGAAGCCATCTCTGGGACACGGTTGTGTACTCTGTGCACCAAGAGAGCTCGATATTGCAGCAAAAAGGTGCTTTTAAATTGGTCTGGCAGTGCTGCAAGAGGTATCTCTGAACCGCATCAGTCTAGTTTCTCTAGTCTGTCTTCATTCCCGATGTATTTTTAACTTTTTTCAAGAGCTTGCTCGTTATGGCTGATTACATTATTTGCGATATTTTTTTTTTTTTGTCTCCTTTGATGCCTGTGCCAGTAGTGCTTATGTAAAGGGGCTTGATGATGTTGAATGGTAAAAATGAACAAATGCAGCGGGAATTCAATTGCTATTTTGCTCTCAAGCACAAGTGTTCTTTCTAAATCAAGTCTGACCATTTACTATGTCAGTCAGCTATGTTGTTGGAGACATGGAGAAACTATTTCATTTCGTTTGATTTAAGGGGAATTTTTGTTTGCTTGAGATGCTCTATTTTACTTGAAAGTTTCAGAAATGTATGATTTCGAAGTGCTCTGCATGCTTGAAGACAAATTTGGCCATAGTTGATCTTCATCTCAGCTGCAAAATCCTATGTATTATGTGTACCTGTCAAATAACTGGCCAGCAGTACCTAGCCTCTCTAAAGGCAGGGAGTTTGAAGTTATCTGTCAAATATTGCACAGGAGTTATTGATGGTAGTTTCTTTTAGGTGTTTTAAAATTAAATTTCGTAATCATACAACCATCCACCTTAGCTGGTACATGTAATTTTAGAACTCATGCTATAAGCACCTGATAATTAATGACAATTTGGGATACTTCACTGTAACGTCGTTTGCAAGCTAATTAATTAGTTGACATAGCTCTTCTTAAATTCCAAATTTTAAGAGGTTTGTGTGTGTTTCCAATAGTTTGACAGAGTCTTCCCACAAATGCAGTAAATGCCGGATTGCTGTGAATTTAGGGCCATGTCCTGCAGTGCTCTGAAGTCATCTCGGCTGCTGCCACATCCCTGCTTCGCTCTGACGTTCAGCAAATAGTTTGCTGGGAAGTTTGTGTGCTAATCTGGCAGAGAAGCTAATCCACCAGAGCGAATAGCTTTCTTTTGGACGAGCACGCTGAAATGAAGTGTTGAGATTTGGAGACGCAGCAGTAGGATGGGATGTGGCAGCCAACAGTTGGATTGTCTTAAACTGCCAAAGACCCTCAGTCAGGGAAGCACACATGCTTCTTTCATAAAGGTTGGCAGTCCCAGTCGGGCAATTTCTAAAGAAGAATTGCCATCAGTGAGGTATTCAGAAGAAAAATGACTGTTCAAAAATGACTGTGCAAAAAAGCAAAATTTCATCGTACCATGGCAGGGACACTCAATTATAAACTTCTTTGCCTCTCTGTATTCAGACAGAGCGGGGTTTCTGTGCGCTTGATTCATCACACTTGGCTTGAGAGAGAGCACAACATCTCCAGATATCGGAGAGGCTGATTTTGTAGTGCTTCAATGTCGCTTTTATTCAGGCCCTACTCAATAGAGCTTTGTGTTCTTCTCACTCCTAGAGATTGTAAGTGCTGCTGTGGAGGCAGAGATGACGTGGAAATATGGACCATAAAAAAATATTGGCAAACTGATGTTTCTCAAAAATATGACCTGTGCTTAAAACAACAGCAAAATCTTTATTTGACTTTTAAATCATGGCATCTCATTGTCTTTTGATTCTTTTGAGCCTCTAAACAAAAGCATAATATACTGCAGCTCGCTGTGAGCTAGGGATTTAAGACAAGGCAAATCTGCAGGAAAAAAAACCCTGCGTTCAAAATAAATTCCCTTTCTGAAAGGGCGTTACAGGGAGTACAGCTGTTTGGTGGTAGCGCCGTGCAGCGAGGAACTGAGCTGGAGACTGCAGCAAATGCGGTGTCAGAAGGCGGGAGAAAAGAGCCCTGGCTAAGCTGGGTGCAAGCTGCCCCACCTTGCAATGAACTGAAGACTTGCTGCACCTCACCTGCTGCAAAGACTAGTGGAAAAGAAATTTGAGGAGTAGGAGACCAACATTGCTGAAAGCCGGCAGTTTTCTGTGCTTGTTGATGCTGCGTAGTCTTTTCTCTCAACCTTAGTTTGTTTTCATCCAAATATATGCTGTTGCATCTGTTTGCTTGGTTGTTCGGTGTTGGAAACACACCTCTCTTCTTGACAGCACGCTTTTTTTGTCCTTTGTAACTCGCTTTGGAACTGGAGGGAGGAAGAAGCTGTGTGCTTTGCAATGGGAACGTGCTTTTGAGTCCCGAAATTAATAATGGGATTGGAAAAACACAGTTCAGGAATGTTGGCGTGTGGCTCACGGTTTGTGGGACAGTAATTTATTCTGTGTGGAACATCTGTCGTAAGGGAATGGCTTGGGGAGAGGGGAAAAGCATGTGATAAGAGTTGGAGATTCTACTTCAGAATGACTTGTATATGAATGCGCAGGATAGTTTAGTTACAGGGAGAATGGAATTTCCCCAGCTTAGAGAAAAGCATATGGAGAAACCTGGTTTGCTGGTGTTACTGAGCATCCGCTGGCTTGCGGTGATGCTTTTACAGCACGTTGACTGAGGGGTTTTGCAGGTCGCTCTGTCTCTGGACGGGCAGTACTCGGTGTTCATCTCAGTTCACTTCGTGCTATTTTTACAGCTTTCTGTGTTCAAATGGCTCAGAATAACATGCTTGTCATTCACCTGTCAACTAAGAAAGGTAACTCACTTCAGACTTCCTTCCCCTGAGAATAGCTCCGATACGGGGAATGTCTTCAATTACCAAAAAACTCTGTGCTGTCCCCTTCCTGCATGCTCTTAAAAGGCAGGTGTTTACAAGAGGTCTTCTGTTTCAAGATGACCTAGTTAAGGATGCTGCTGTGCGGCAGGTCAAGGTTTTGGAGTAAAGTTTCCAGCATCGCAAGATGCTGCTCAGATTTTGGAGAGCTGTGGATGGATCTTCCAGATCACCTGTACCAGCAAATGGTTTCATTTGATGAATCGCAGCATAAACAGAGGGCTGGAGGAGCACCTGCCTGATGCTGCAGCCTTTGACTAGGCAAGAAGGACATCAAGTAGTTCAAGCCAATGCATTCAAATACCAGTGCCCCGTGGCAGCGGTGGGCTCTGTGCAGTGCCGGCAGCACAGCTTGGGCGTTGCAGCACCACTTGTGCCCGCGAATCGCTTGGTGAGCCTCCGGGTTCATTTGGGTTGACACGCGGTAGGATGTAGAAATGTTTCAAGAAAAAGGGAGAGCATCCCGATGCTTACGGACATCAGGATGCTTAATCCTCAGGTGCAGGGGAGCTGGACTGGTTTTTTGACGTGGGTGGTTGCTGCTGTCTCACTTGAGTGGGAATGGGCTTTTTGACGGTCGCTGCAAGCGCTGCCAATGATGGTCTTGTGCGTTTTACTGGAGAGGACTTAACCAAATCCGTGGTAATAATGATCTGTCTGTCTTGTTTGAATGATGATGGTTTTATGATGTGAAGTGTTACGATTTTATGGCTAGAGAAGGAACAGATGTCATTAGTGGTTTCAAAATTGGTTAGAACTGAATGAGTGCAGGTGCTTTGTACTTCATGATGGGTTACTGGTCACTGTTGAGGGTGGGTAAAAAGTTCCCTACAGAGGGAATCCACTTCTAACAGTTGTGTGTTGTTTTCTCCCACCTCTGACACAGGTTGCCAACTTGGCCTGTTCCATCTCGAACAACGAAGAAGGTGTGAAATTGGTTCGCATGTCAGCCAGCCAGCTTGAAGCCCTGTGTCCCCAGGTAATAAAGAGCGTAAGAAGATAAGACACACCCTAATAATGGGGCAACTGGTCCTGCTTAGTACATGTTCTGGCCTCTTAGTGACTGTCTGTGGACTTGCTGCAGAACTTCACTTTTTCCTTACTATGTGTAGAGAATGAAATGCAGTGTAGGCATCAAGACTTAAAAACTTTAAATACATGACAAAGTAATTAGTGATACAAATGGGTCTTTTTTACATAATAGCTCTAATTTCGTTTGGCCGGGGCATTCTAGTAACCTGCAAGACGGTAAACGTGAAGCTTCAGTGGTTTACCTGTACACATTCGTGTTGCAGGAAGATGTCTTGTGAAGACACTACCGCTGCTCCTGTGCGTGCTGTAACATCAATTAGAGATACATTATTTTTTGCCTGAGTAGAATATAAATACGCCAAAAAAATCTTCTCGATAGCGTAGGATCAGAGGAAGCTGGCTATGCGTGAAAAGTTTGAACCTGGCTGAGACTACCTTTTAATGAATAACTTTTTAATGGAAACAAGGAAATTAAGTTTATGTAAGCAGTAGGCTATCCTCGTCCGTTTTGACAGCCCTGATGTTTTAAATGTCAACAACTAGATACTTGGGTGAACTCCTGAAGACTACAGTGCACTGTCAATTCTTGTAATTTCTGTTTTTTTACAGCAACAGGAAATTCATATTTAAAACATACAAATAAGCTGTTGTTGGTAATGAGGAGCTAATGGAAAATACATACTCAAAAAAATTGGTCAAACGGCATTTTACGAGAGTAAGGTGTATTGTCTCAGGATCTTGGAATTTGTTCAGTTTTTCCCATATATATTGGTAGTTTTAAAACCAGCCAAAAGGAAGGGAGATAGGTGAACCTGTACTCACCTCAGCAGGAGGGGAATTTTGAGGGAACTGGTGAAGGCAGTGTGAGGAGCAGGAGTATTTTATCTTTTCTGTTGAAGTACCAGTGCTATTAAATAGGTGAAGATAGGCACCTGAGCATAAAACATTAAGTACTGTCTGGGAGGCCTTTTGTCATCCTGGGGCGAACTTCTGTGGCTCCCACTCCTGCATCAGACCCTGGGGCCAGTGCATCGGCTGTGCTGCCTGTGAAGTTCTTTGCCTCCCACATCTGGGGCAAGTGGTGTGTATGGCTCGCTAAAACCAAAGGTCAATTTTTACAGTTGGAACAAAGCATGTGGAAGAAAAAGCTTTTAAAAATGCATCTTACCTGGTATGAGGGCTTGCTCTTTCCTAAAGTAACCAACTGGGCTGGACATAAATTTTTTTTTGTTGTTATCTCCAAGAATATGGGTGCCTAGTGCATGTTATTCCAAACCAACGTTGATGCTTTTGAAAGTAATAATCTTAATTTTTCTTTTGAATCTAAACGTTTCTGGTAGTTGTCCAAATCTTTGGGGATGTTTTCCCCTCCTCATTGTTGAAATGATGTGTATTTCAAACTCTTCCAGCTTTGCTTTCCCAATAACTGCTTGTTTAAATAAATCTACTCCTTTATAAAAGGAGCACCATGATGGTCAACTTGAAATAATTATCAAACTATAGTCAATAGTCACCAAACTGTAGTCACATGCACTGAAGGGCACTTGTTAGCCTTTGACTTCAGGGATTACGGGTAATACGTTTAACAAATATTGGAAGCTTTGATTATCTATAAATGGACACGGGCTACAACTGACGGATTTTGACTTTACAAAGGTCACGTATCTGAACTGCCAAGCCTGCAGTTTAGATGTTCCACTGCACAGTCTTGCCTTAATTTCAGGATCCTCACCAAGAGGTCAGTAAATGACACTATAGATGTTCATAGCACTTGAAAGTGATTTTTATATTACGTTACGTGCTCTCTGGTTGGTTCTTTAATGCTCTAAGAGTATTTAAACATGTTGTAAACCCTCAGAGATAATTAGGGGCACTTGTCTGAACTGTTTTACAAATGACATCTGTGTTTTCTCCTAACAATGCAGAAGTTTGGCTTATGCCAGTCTAAGTGATGAAGCACGCTGTCGTCCTCCTCAGCAGCGTTACTGAATGGTCCCCAAGCTTTGGTTATTCTGTATAATCTCTAAATGCTTCTAGATATAAAGAACAGCGTAGTGGGATTTTGTTTCCTTTTTTAGACAATTATCTGTTTATTTTGCAGCTTGTTCCTCATAAGATTCGCAGCAGCTTCTTGAATCCCGTTAGGTGGCTGTGCTGAACAAACGGGTGAATTAGGCATAAAATACAGATTAAACCCAACTTTTTTTTTTTGGCTTAGATGATATTTTTCCAGGAAGATGCTGGATTTGGAATGAGTCAAGTCAATCAGTAATTACAATAGTCTCTGAAACTCAAGTGAATATCTCCATATCACACAGAAATGTGACGTATGAAATTTAATTCAAGGTATTGCTGTGGTTGAAAGGATGAAACTGAAATTTAATGCACTTGAGTCCTAGGTAACCTCTTGAATAGCTTAGCTGAGTAGAGGCCATTCTGGGAGTAGAGAACTCCTGGTTAAAGAATGATTTCTGCAGAAATCAATCTGTAGAGTTAATTATAAAAGTTGTATCTCCAACAGAGCAGTTGCTCGGTCCCTTGCCACAGCTAACCTTTCTGAGCCAGCAGCAGGAGTTAAGAAACACGCAACACTACAGACTGGTTTTGTTGGTATGGAGGAGTTGTCAGTCCTTGCCAGTGTCATCTGTGGGTTCAGATGTTCTTAGGTTTCAAATGTAAATCTTTGAGGGGGAAAAAAAAAAAAAAGATGCAGAAAATCTTTGATCTGAGAAGTCTTTACAAAAGCAAGCAGTTAAATTTGTTTAGTGTGGCTGTGTTACTGGAAATCAGTTCTTCCTCAGGAGTAACATTATCCTTCCTGTTTGTGGGTCCCCAGCCAGTTAACACAGGAATTAATGGGAAGTTGAAGACTTAATGTGGTATTTAGAGCTCCCTTTTGATGGTGCAGAAGGGACTGTTAGGAAGAGCCGTGCATGCTCTGCAGTAGCCAGCTGGGTGACTGGTGTTAATCTGGGGTTTACAGGGGAGAAATAAGGCAGCATTAGGGGGTCACTGGTGTTTTTCTTCATGAAGCCTTGACTTACATGCCTAAATTCTTTGTTTTGAGGATGGGTTGCTGAAAGTCTGTATATTGAAGTGAAACAACTTTGTCCAGCATCTCACAGGAGTTGCCCGCAGTCCTGCAGCTTGCTAAGTGGTGGGGGGAACATGCCAGTCTGTGGTGGGTTAAGATGAAGGAACAGAAGTCCTCCATTGCTACAGTTAAGCAGGTGTTTTGTTTGTGTTTTTTTTTTTAACATTTAAGATGTCTTTCATCATGGAAATGGAAAACTACTGCTGTGAAATGCTTGGAATAGTTGCCTGTGCTTCCATTTGCCTAGCAGAGCGCTGGGGGAAGTTTTCTTTGCCGCCTTGCTAAACACAGAGCTTGCCAATGGTAAATTAGCAAAAGATTTTGTTTGTCTCAACTTGAAAACCTGGATCCTTGCTTGTAACTCTGGCTTCTTAGTTCTGTTTCCAAGAAGCACTTGCTTTCGGAGCCTGCAAAAGCTGTTTTGTAACAGCATTTTGCATTAAAGATGTCTGAGAGGAGGGCTTAACCATAGGAGTGTTTCTGATCATACAAGCTGTAGGTGTTTAGAAAGCAACAGTGAAAATGCCCCAGTACAGCTCTTGAAAGGGAAGAGTGTTGCTCCAGCCTTTTGATGTGACAGTCTGCTGTCACTTGCAGCTGCTTTCACCAGCTCTGTGTTGACTTTCTCGTTCTTTAAAGCCTCCGTGAAGTTCATCTGTAGACTTCTAACCAAACTGCAGTCAGGCTGAGAGTTTTAGAAAATAATTACGGATTAGAATTTCCATTAGGTTGGGCATTTGCTTCTGCCAGCAAAAGCTGGAGCCCATTGCCCTTGAGACTGATCAGCTTCTGGGAAGTGCAGGAGCAGGGTAGACTTGCACGGCCCTGGTGTGGACACGCGGGGCCTGTTGTCCCATCTGTAAGACAGGGCTCGCTCTGAGCCGGTGCTGGTTGCCCATCTCCTCTGCTGCCCAAATAGTTCATCCTCCTTAGAAACACTGGGAGGGCACCAGGCAGCATCTCTGCCTGTCCTTTCTGCGCTCCTGCTGTACCTGCCGTAGCACAGACAGGAGGTTTGGCGTAGCTCACCGTCCCCTGCACAGTCAAGTGAGTGTTGCCCATTAAACAGACTCTGGATAATTCTTGGATTAAATTACATTTTTATAAAAATAAATTGGCTCTTCTCATATTATTAAAACAAGATGTTAATTGCTGTTCCACATCCTTACATTCCAATTTTGAAATGCCTGAAAAGCAATTTGCTGCTTACAGATTTCTGATGAGACAGATGGTTACATATGCTGATCACACCTACTGACACAGATAGACAAAATACCAAAGCATAAGGAATCCCATGTAGAGGTTCCAAATAGCACAAAAACTTTTGTTTAAAAGTTGCAGCGTCTTAGAGAAACAAAACCCCCTCCAATCCACCCCCTCAAATCAACCAAACCCAAATGGGACTGGCGGAGTTTCTCTCCTTGAGTCCTCAATTACTGCCAGTTCCCTGGTGGCTGTTGGAGAAGGAGATAACTTCATTTTTCTTGCAGTAAAGACTTAACATTGAACAATTGTCCCCTCTTTAATTTCTCTTTGAAAGACTGACAGATTTTTTTTGAATGTACTAAGTAGCAGATCAGTCTCCAGACTGTTTAATTACAGGTGCTTGAAGCATTTTATTGGCATTGAGTAGAAATACTTACATTAAAAACTTAACATTTGGGTTGCAGTTTTGTATCATGCAGGCTTGCTGCAAAGAAGAGCCAGAACAGGACAGGACTGGCCATCAAAGAAAGAACGTTAGAAATTCAAGCAGTTACTGATGCATAGAAAGAAGCAAAGCCAGGAGAAGGATTCAATTCTGTAGAAAGAGGTATGTTAGTGTGTAGGGACCCGCTGTTTTCATCGCAGGC